TTTTTTCGTGAAGTAGAAATTCAACATGCCTAAATGAACTAGTATGCACCAAGTAAGAAGCTGATGCATAGTCGGGCAGTTGTCAGCTCATAGGATACCGCTGTGTAAAAAATACCAATTGGTTACATGGAAGTTAGATGGAATATGAACTAGTTGGTGAAAAATGAAAACTAGTCGGATTCTAGTTCACAACTAGTATTTTCTATATATATATATATATATATTGTTAGCTTGTAGTCGCTGAAGTGATTTTCTGCCGAACTCCTAATCCAATTTGTGGTTTTCGCAACAAACGGAGGGATCTACATTTTTTACTTAACTCCTCCGGCAGGCTGATGGTTTTTTGGGAGAAGTTTCTCTTGATACGTCAGAAATAGGGTCCGGAAGGCTTGACATTTCTCGCTGAAGGGCCAATGCCATTAGAAAATTTTACATTTTCTTTTAACTATAATAAGCAACTTAAATGAACATAATAGATACTGTAATCCCTTAATATCAATTATTAGTTTATGTTTTACAAAATTATGTCATTAGTTTCAGATAAACAGTTTATAAAGTGTCATATGAAAAATATAATCTAAGCTTGCAGAAGACATTTCCATAAACGTGTTTATATGTTGGTAAATATTTTAACCCCCACTAAATCAATAAAAGGATAAACTCTTTTGACTGAATATCAGAAAAACAACCCATCCTCACACGCCAAATATAAGCAATGTACAAAAATACGCTTATATACATTCACACGGATGCGCAAATCCCCTGCAGGGAAAATTCTACGATTGTTGTTAACTGGAATCCTCGGGCGATGTGCTATGAACTGTCAATTGTCGACTATGCATCTGTATTATACTAGTTATATACTAGTTCTTTTAGGCATGTTGAACCATGAAAGTCTCTCACCTCACTAGACTATCGTTGAAATACAGAACAACGAGATCTGCCAACTGCAGATTAGGAAAAGAAACTCAGCCATCTCGTATTAAAAATCACAATAACAAACCAAAATTTATTTGTTTCTAACGAGTCCCGTATTCCGAACCTAAATTTCTAACCAAAAATAGACCTCAGCCGCGACATACTGGATATATTAACAACACAGGTTAGGAAAAATTATTATTAGGCCCATTACTGGTGCATTGCTATACAAAGACCAAGTGGTATGATTTCTTCATCTTCATATGTAGAATTTTTGCATACTAGTCTAGCACATCCCTGCAGGTCCTCTATACTTATGGGTACACGTAGATTTGTATGTTTTACATATATACTCGTACGAGTACATTGCCACTTGTCTGCGTGCATACAATCGCATACAAATGACAGCATTTAATCTTATCGCATGTCTTTACGCTTTTGCAAATCGCTTTGGGTTCTTATCACCAACTCAGTCGCATTCCACCTTCCCCGGAATCTTTCAACGCACAGCACGCTGCTTGAAGCCTATACGCGTACAAAACATACAAATAAGCATACATACTTGTATCTATGTGTATGTGCGAATTTATCTTTGTGGGTATACGCAGTTTATCATTCGTTTGCGTTGACAAATGCGTACACATGTTCCAGTGCTGCGCAACAAGAGAGTGCTCTGTGGGTGTGCCCGCTTTACTTCTGTTTTGTTCAAAGAGTGTTGGTGTGATATGCAAACCATTCATCGCAACCGAAGTAGTTGGGCTCCCTTGGTGATATCACATGTTTTCTTTTCAAGCGACACTCACACTACTTTTATTGTAAAACCTAATTTTTCTTAAAGACAAAGAGCGTAAGAGATAAGTAATCAATTTATTTATATATTTCTTATTCATTAACACATCTATTATCTACGCCCAACCGGCAACAGTCAAAAAATATAAATGTGGACTTAATTGAAACCTATTCGCCAACTCAGGTTTAAAGGAGCGAAAAATTGATGTTGGATACGAGCTTGGAGAGAGATTTCGCCGCCGACTTCTCATTCTCAAGCTCACTCATTAGCCCTGCTTCCACCACAGCTTCAAAATTGCTATTAATGATTATGAAGCCAGGGTGAGCAAAGCAGGTATATTTGAAACAATTGACAAAAAACTCAGCTTTCACCACGAAACATCCACAAAGTCATCCAGCTACTTTGCAATGTCAAGTTCGAAAATCTCAAAACCAAATCGATGGTGTTAAGATAGACGGACGACATGTCTCCGGTGTTCTTGAAATTCGTACGTTCCGAAGACCTAATATCGACTACTATTAGGTCGCAGTAAACCCGCCCTTAAAATGTCTGCAATCACACCTGACAGCTAAATCGTTTTCTACTCGGCTTGCACTCCTACTTTCTGATAACACTCATCAGCAACTCGGTATAAAGGAATTGTGGGACAAAATTTCAATTTCCAACGTACAGCTGCAAACACGAGATTTCGTGTCGTAGTGGAGAGAAGATAGACTGCTTATCTCGCAACCTTGCGGTCGACCACAACACGTGCGGGTTGGGATGGATACCCAGAGCTGTAGAAGGCAGCAAGATGCAGGAAGCTTCAGTGGAGCCACTCTGACTTAATCGATTTAAGGGTCTGCTGAAGTCTAATTACGGCGTCTGTTCACCAGAAGTGGGACTGCGATCGGTCGTTGATCTTGAAGCAAGCGTCTCGCTATATAAATGTGTAAAAACTTTAAACTTACTCACCCAGCGAGCAATCGTAAATACCAAGTATCACTAGGCTTTTCTCCAACTGGTCTGTCCAACGAAGTGAAGGACTGCCTCTCTTTCCACTGGTGGGTACTGTTTTGAAAATTCTCAACGTCCATTCCGGTCATATCACCCAGCCTATGGAGACGTTGTCACTTCATTCTATGCACAGCTCATCGTTCCACTGGCTACGGTATGCGTCATTCAAAATGTACAGCTGACCACAAGTTTTCGCAAAACCTTGGTCTTGTCTGCACGCACTCCCAGATCCATACGCTTTGAATTCATATACAGTGTATATAATATATAATGATGCCAATACCCATAGAAGATTTTACCTTCTCTATGTAGTTCTTGTTATTTTATTTTTCTTGTCTGAAACCCCGTTTGGTATTAAAATGCTCGAGGCAGTCATTTTTGATTCTAGTGAAGCTTCAGCACTAAGCAACATTAGCGTCCCTTTACGGGTCTTTTTCAAGACTTGGTGCATGGTAAATATCTCGTCAATGGTTAATTTACAAGGTTCGAAGCCACACGGCTAAGGTCCAATCAGTTCGTTGCCGGTGGGCTTTAGCTTTTCACGCAATACGCTTTATAGGACATTGTAAGTGATTCTGTAAGTGATTCTGAGGGAGATTAGACAGTGTACATTTGGGCATTCGTTCATTCGACCATATTTTGTAAAGGAGCTGATGCATTAACTTCATACAAAATAAGAATTTTCAAACTGGGCAAAAATCAAATTTAAAAAAAAAAAATTATTTATTTTTCTTATAAGCATTAAGTGAACTGAAAGCCGGGTTTATTTGTATGAGTTGAATATTTTTGAGTTGATTTAAGAGTAACTTTGTGTTTAATTTTCACTTATAAAATATTTTCCGTATGACGGTCTTGAGCTTTCTCTCTTTTAGTTTTTATAAAATATTATTTATGACAATATATATATATATATATATATATATAGATATATATACGGTTATCCTCTTCCCGTCCAACGGACATAAGTGGCACCTTCCGCATAACCTTCGGAAAATGTTCAGTCACTAAAAGCGAGAGTTTGTTAAGCGTCGAGATTTAAAACTGCTCAGCTACAGAAAAATATACTGATCGGCTGAAATATATAATTCATTAAGTTTTTGACGAAATTTAACTGAGTTACTTATTAAGAGAGGTTAGAGATAGAATATTTCATTACAAAAAGGAAGCAAGTTAAATCAGATGTGCTGGAATAACAACTGAAATCTTTACTTATACGGCGAAATGTTTCAAATAGTTCAAAATTTGTTTTACTAGAATTTAAATTTAATAGTCTACGCTGTTTTGATAATCGCATAGGGACACTAAAATTTACTTCACTTAAAAGAAATGAACTGCAAATCATCCCTAGCATTACTCAATGGCTAGAGAGTGTAGGAAGATTAAAAAGTTTTAAGCGGCTAGTATACGGTGGAATATTTTTTGGCTAGAATCCCAGTAGAAATATCGCAAAGCAAACAAAAAAAAACTGTTCTTGAACGCTTTCGATTTTAAACGGAATGGACATTATAATAAAGATACCATATTAGTCGCACTAATTATATAAAAAGTATATTTGTAATGTGAGGGTCCTTAAACTCTTTTGGCCAACGCTTTATAAAATCAAGGGTGCCTTTAGTTTTCAGATTAAAATTAAGTTTAGTGTCCACTGATACACCACAATCAACAAAATTACATACTTGTTCTACATAGAATATAGTTTACTATTGTGTAAGATGAAGATATTTACTAAAAAAAAATCATGGTTTTACATTTGTTTAGCTTGAGGTGCATATCGCTGTTATTGTACCAAATTACAAAATTGATATATGATTTAAAAAGCTTTACATCATCCTCGTACAATAAAATGTTTAAATATTTTATAACTGAAGACAAATCATTAAAAAGCAGCAAGAAAAAAATCAGACCCAGGTGGCTGCCTGGCGGAACGCCTGAAGTTACTTCAATTATGTCCGAGAAGGAATCTTTAAATAAAACAAAAATCCATTGCAAAAGTTTAGGCAGAAATCAAAGCAGGTCTAGGTTTTTTTTAACAGGTAAAAGATTCACTAAAGTCTGTATATATAACATCAGTGGACTTATTTTCCCTAAACCCATTTGAAACTTGGATAAAAACTGCAAGCAAAATAGTAACGGGAGATTTTTTTATTCAAAACCCATGCTGGAAATTGGAAATAAAAAAAATAAATGAATAAAAAGTGTATTAAAAAATCACATAAAAATTGTTTTTTGTTTATTATTGTAACCCTTAAATGCTTTCAACTAAGAAAATATTTCTCTTTCCATACTCTCGTTTCAGATTTACCAAAATTCGGTGAACCATTGCAAAATGTCACAATACCAGTGGGACGAGAAGCGATCTTACAGTGTGTTGTCGATAATCTACAAACATACAAAGTAAGTTGTAAAAATAAATAAACTTATCAAATATATACATATGTACACCCAAAAAAAAAAAAGAAAAGAAAAATAAAAATAATGGACTGCAAAAATTTATAGAGTTGACCATTAACACAATCTGACAACCAATCAGCTACACACGTACAACACAACATGCACAAGAAAAAGTTCCCAAAACAAACCGGTGAGAAAAAAATTATATTTTTTCTAAAAAATTGCTAAATGTTTATTGGCATGCCAAAAACTATGCCACAAATTATACGCTCAAACAATTTTCGCACACTTCGGCTACCAACACACATAGTTACTACCACCCAGCTACATACATACATATATATAATGGAATGTGTAAGTAAGAGTAGATGACCGCAGGCATTTTTTATCGTTAAATATAACAAAAACAGCCAGATGCACAAAGGACTTGGCGCTTGTTAAGTGCGCTCAACCATTTTACAAGCTTAACGGTAAACTTGTATATTTTATATGGCGTGTATATCACGTTATGTGCGTATGCTGCGCTCACGTTTCTCTTCATTGGATACACTAACACTTTCGACACCTTTTAACCGAAAAACGCCTTTCACCAACGCAATTCTCACTCAATCAAGGCAAAACACACTGACGCTATATATGCGCGGCTGGTTGTGGGTATGCGAGAATACCCTGTGGGGAAAGCTATTCATTGTGACTAAATATTTGCAAATTAACGCCGAATGCTAAGTCTCAGTGAATAATCAAAATTTGACAAAGTGGTATTTTAAACATCAGTTTTATACTAATAAAATACCAGTTCGATATAACCTTTATTTTAAAATGGAACTTAAACTGGCAGATATTACTACTACTTGTATGACGTAATGTATTAAATAATGCATTTTTATATAGTGAACTGGTTTTACACTTGTTTGTGAGGATCTAGTATCTTTTTCAATTAAATTGGCGAGGCGTTTTGTTTAGCTTTTCACCACAGGGTATCTACATGGAGTAGTGTTCTTGTATTGACCAATAAATATTTTTCTATTCTGAATGGATTTTTTGTTATCATAATCATTATTTCTTTTTCTGCCCTTTTAGTTGAAGTCCAAATCCTTTAGAGTGAAAACATCATAAAATAACAAAACGTCTTGCACACATGCAACAATTTGCACGCTCCGCTAGACGCTCGCTTAAGTGAGTATGTGCGTCAAATAGAAGGTGTTGATGTGTTTACCTTTGACCTCTTTTTGGGTTCATATTTCACTGTTTTCCAATACTTTATTTTCAACCGTTTGTACCTTGCCTTGATTGTGGTTCAGTTCTGTTTTAATTTTTGGCCTTTCTTGCCTTCCGTTTGGTACTTCTCGTTTGTCGACTTCACGTTGAAGTATTTTACTACTACTATTGCTGCTCACGTGGTTTATGCATCCTACTTATTCAACTGTTAGTGTATGCGTATGAACTGAAATCTTTATGAGTACGCAGTTGTGCGTAACAGTAACTTTTAGTTCTGACAAGTAAATTGATAATCACGACTTGGGGGTGTACCAAAACTGCTTCAATATATTTGATGTTATCATCGTTAGGAACTTCCTAATCTATTTTGTAACTATTACCATTTTATTTCACTTACTTCCTTACCTTTCTTATCGTTGTATACCCAAAAGTTCTTTCCACTTACCCTATTCACCTTGGGTAAACGTCTACTGAAGAGGTCCCATGGTGTGTAAGTGATACATATTATTATTTTTATTGATATTACCCACCTGTGCGCCTGAGTGTATGCTTCAAAGCTTTTGCAACTCATCATGACCTTAACAAATCAGACACTATTCGCACGCATTTCAGGCATTACAAGCGCCAACTACTACAATTATTATTATTATTATTATTATTATTATAACTGTAACTTTGTTGCAATATAAGCTCAAGGCACGCAAAAAGAAGTTAACGAAAAGAAAAGAATGTTTCCACCATTTCAAATGGTGGAAAACTATTTTTTTTTTATAAAAATTTTTTGCAAACTTGATTCTGCTGTTTGCTTGCCCCTGCAGACGTTGAAATAAATTTTTCAGCACAAATGACGATTTATTCTTGAGTTTTTTCACCTATTTCTGCACAAAAATTTCTGTTTTTACGTGTTCTATAAATAATCAGCGTATTTTTTATAAATGCATATATATATATATATATATATATATAATATTATATTTATATATTTTTCTAGCCTTATATGTAGACTCGTACATATATCACTAACAATATACAGTTGCTTACATATCTATGTACAATTGTAAATAGGTGCGTATTAGATAGAGTAGAAGTTTGCTGCAAAAAAGGCTGAGTTCAGAAACTTTCTACTTTAGTTTTGATTCATGAATTGTGCTAGACGAAAACTTTTCATACCATATGAATTTAATTTACGTTAATGGCTCGGAAATTAAAGTGCAAAAGTATTAAGTTGCCGTTGGCATTCAGTGCGGAAGTTTTTAGGACTGCCACAAGGTTTGGTCAGTTGTGATTTTTTGAGTGAAATAAAAAGGCAAATCGAGAAATAATCGTGATTGTACTGCAAATATAAGCAATTGAATAAGAAAAATAGCCTTCTCTTAAAGATTTCATAATGAAATTAAAAGCTAAAAAATAAACAAATTGAATGAATTAAAAGAAAATAAGTAAAATTGAAAAAAAGCATATTAACAAATAAGTTAATTAAAAAAATAAAGTAACCTAAAACAAAATAAAATAAAACAAAATAAAATAAAATAAAATAAAATAAAATAAAATAAAATAAAATAAAATAAAATAAAATAAAATAAAATAAAATAAAATAAAATAAAATAAAATAAAATAAAATAAAATAAAATAAAATAAAATAAAATACAATGAAACGAAATTAAAAAAAAAAATTAAAACAAAGAGATATAAAATAAAATTATAGAAAATAAATTTACATAAAATAAATATATAAATAAATAAAATAAAAAAGTAAAATATAAAAGATTAAAAGAAAACAAAATAGAGAAAATTAATATATAAAAAAAAGAACAAAAAAGTATTAAAATTAAATTAAATGACCCTAAATAAAATAAAATAAAGTACATCAAATGAAATAAGTTAATACTAATAAAAAATAAATAAAATAAAATAAATTCAGTTTACACAGCCGTATAAGTTTTTCGGGGATATAGCAGCGTAGAGGCAGCCCTTTTCGTGCTTTTGATGGGTAATACAGTTAAAATAAAATTACATTAATTAAAATTGGGCAAGTTATAGTTAACTTAAAGAAGTTTCAAAAATGTTTTAGAAATAGTAAAATGAATAGAATAAAATAAAAAAATTATTAATTATGTTCTTAAATATTATCTATCAATTCAAATAAATATAAACATTAGTTATGATTTAAGTCTTTCTTCGCTTTCTTTTTTCTTCTTCTTTCAAGTTAACTCCATAGCAGTAATCATTTTCCGTTCATTTTCTTCATTTATTAAATCACACTAAAATAATCACTATTTATTGCTTACCACCGTTCTGTTTGAAAGCCCATGTATTCTAATGGACTCATAATTATAGTTGGATCACAAGAAAAAACAGACATACCCCTTGAAAATTATGAAATATAGTATTCAAGTGAATTAAGCTCTTTATGCATACATGTGTCTAAAAAGAGTAGAAACGAAAATACAGAAATACAAAACTTATGTATGTATATGCGTATGTAGGTAAATACCACTTCATAATACGTGACTCTTTAAATACAGCAAAGCACATAAATTCCTCTGCATTACGAGTATAATTGCGCACGAAATTCAACACACACACAAACGCACACAAAAATTAACCCATTCATCTTAATAAACTTGCTTAACCCCTTTGTTGGTTTTTACCCAAACCACTACAATCAAAAGACTCCATGTCTATTAATTCGTAAATCTAGTGGCAGGCAATGGAATGGCTTAGCGCAAGCAATCAGGCAGATATAAAGATTTATAAAGGTATTTATAGTGTGTTTCGATATGTATGTATGTGTGCATACAAACACATATGCTAAGCACTGAGTGAATGGTGAAGCACAAGGCTATTTTCAAAAAATAATATTTCTCTACTGAATTTTTTCTTTGCGAAACTGGTTCTAAACTGGCCGAAAGTATTAAACTTATATGAAAGTTTAATATATTATACACATATATATTTTTGGTCTTTTCAAGTAGGTGGCAACTCTCTTCAAAAATATTTTCGTCTGTAAAGCGCGTTAACTCTCATTAGTTTGCTGTTACAAATGCTTATTTAATTCCTTTCAAATTTGCAAACAGGTGGCGGACTCTTCAACAAGTTTTCCTCTGTAAGGTATCCCCTAAATTATATTTTAAATTTCATTAATTTGTTGTAAATAATTTAATTTATTTATGTGCAGTTTTTTGAAATTAAAATTTTCAAACAGGTTGAAATTGTTCGATTTTATTGCTTTTAGTACTAGTTCTGAGGTAGTTCATAGCTAGTGCATTCAACTACAGGTATCATAAATATAATACATATATGTATGTATGTTTGTTTGTTCACACACACCAACCGACAGTTAAACTATTAAACTGAGGCAAACAAACAAATTTTCATATTAATTTTCTTCTCTATTTCCGCTTTTCTCCTTTCATTGCCGACTTAAATCGTTTAAACACTAATGTAAACCACTGTTCACCTCTACATATGCATCTATGTGGATGTGAGTGCACCAACTCAACTGGCGTACCGTGGCAAATTCAACATAACTACTGGCACGTCAAATGGATAAATAAACAAACCGGCAACACGCACGGTTGCACGCATCAATACAAATGGAAAACAACAACAACGACAACAACAATGTACAAATACAAACAACCAAACAAACAAATCAACGAAACAAATGAACGACGAACAACATACAAATGAATTAATATATACGTATGTATATGTATACGCATGCATACACGTATGTTGCGGCCTATGCTATCCGATGTGGTAATATGAAAATGAATGGGTTGTGGCGAACGGGTTGACACGTCTCACATCGCACACAAACACACACACACAAACATTATCATCATCATCATCATCGCCGTCATATATGTACGTGCATTTAACCGTCTGCTATGTTATTATATTTTCGTATATACCGCCTAGATTGCGTGGCTACGCGTCGATACACAAACAATACTAACGATTCAAAATCACGTAATAACGAAAAACCATCGAATGAGTATAACTCACGCTGAGAAACGTGCTTGGATATTGAAAATTCGTGATGTCAAGGAATCGGACAAAGGCTGGTATATGTGCCAGATAAACACGGATCCGATGAAGAGTCAAGTTGGCTACCTGGATGTTGTGGGTGAGTAAAGGCAATTTTTGTTAAAATGTATATATGAAAGTTTGTATATATTTATATACCGCTCAAATTCATGACATTAGGTAGACTTAAATATAGGCAATAAAAATTTATGGATGAAATAGGAAAATCGTATTTTGAATATTAAAGTTACATTTAAAAAGTTTCGATGCTGGAAATTATTCTTAGAAAGAGTCTTTTTTTAAGAATATGCCAATATTTGAGTTATATAAAAATTTGCATATATTAATTTACAGCATAAAAAATTTGTTATTGCCGCATCTCTGTACGTGTATACAATCAACAGTTATTACACAATCATATAATACGGAAAGCCATACTCTCTTGATTGGCGTAGGCACCGCTTACGCAATTATAGCCAAATATATATATCCCGCCATACATCTCTTCCTTCGCTGTTTGGACCCTGTTGGTATACCAAGTGAAATCAGGTCACTCTTCAGCTGATCCTTCCAACGGAGTAGAGGTGTTCCTCTTCCTCTGCTCTCACCAGCCAATGCGCAAAGGACCACAAATCGTTCCCAATACTTTCCTCTCGGAAACTTCTAGAGCCGGCTTATCATGTAGTAAGACGGGTATGATGAGCGTCTTGTAGAGTTTGGTTTTCGTTCGCCGAGAGATGATTTAAGTTTTCAATTGCCTACTTAGTACAAGGTAGAGCTTGCTGGTAAGAGTGATGATGCGCTGGATTTCAAGGCTGATATTGTTGTTGCTGTTGATGCTGAAAATACAATACGAGGTTGATATTCCCCGCGGCAGGAAGACCGAAATTAGAAATATTAACTTTTTAAATTGACTCTCCATAACTTTGGTTATTGGACTGGTCAGACTGCGAACATATCACTTCCCACATGGTAGTATGCACTGGTTATCTGTTGAGGACTATCCTTAAACAGCAGGAGTACAATTCGAGTTGACAACCACTTGACTGGTTTTTGGCTCCAGCAATATTTATTAGCGTAGGACACCGCTTATGCGATTTTGACCGATTCAATAACATTGCGCTATTTGTTTCTTCTTTTTGCTATTTGACGCCAATTGGAAATACAAAGTACAGCCAAGTCCTTCTCTACCTGGTCTTTCCAACGGAGTGGAGTGATCTTCCTCTTCTCTGATTCCACCGGCAGGTACTGCATCGGAAACTGGAGTATTTGCATCCATCCGGACCACATGGCCTAGCCAGCGTAGCCACTGTTTCTTGATTCGCTGAACTATATCAATGCCGCCGTATAGCTCGTTCTGCGTCTGCGATATTTGCAGTTATCAATATGTAAAGGACCATATATCTTACGCAAAACTTTTCTCTCGAAAAGTCCTAGCGCCGACTTATCAGATGTTGTCATCGTCCATTCTTCCGCACCAAATAGCAGGACGGGAACGATGAGGGACTTGTAGAATTTGGTTTTTGGTCGTCGGGAGAGGTCTTTACTTTTCAATTGCCTACTCAGTCCAAAGTAGCACCTGTTGGCAAGAGTAATATAAGGTTGTCATATATCTCCCTTCCGCTTTTTTGCTCTTCATTAAATGTTTTATAGAAAGTGTTACAGTGATCGGATTTAGTTAAAATATGCGCCGTTTTGTTCGATGATCTGTTTCCATCTAGACGGCAACTTCATAATACCTTCCTTGTGGAAGCCCCCCTCCTTATTTGCGAAGAATTCGGACAGCCACTTTTCCCAAGACTCTTTTGAGTTCAACTTCACACCACTAAGGGCAGTCGCCATGGACAGGAACAGGTGGATGCGATAAAACCTCCCAACCGAGCTCCCGTAGCTTCTGACGAGTCATCAACGAAGTGTGTGGTCTGGCGTTGTCCTGTTGGAACACTACACCCTTCCTGTTGGCCAATTCTGGACGCTTCTGGTCGATCGCCTGCTTCAAGCGGTCCAGTTGTTCGCAGTAGATGGTAGAATTAATCGTCTGGCCATATGGGAGCAGTTCATAGTGGATGATTCCCTTCCAATTCCACCAAACACACAGCAAAACCTTCCTGGCCGTCAATCCCGGCTTGGCCACTGTTTGGGACGATTCACCGGCCTTCGACTACGACCGTCGCCAGTCACCATTCGCTTCAAGAATGGGTCGAGTTCGTTCCGTTTCAGTAGCATATCGCAGGCGTTAATTCGGTCCAGAAGGTTTTTCTGTGTCAAACTTTTTTTTGTACCCAGCCTTCTGTAGACGGTTCAAAATGATTTGTTGACTAACTCCCATCTCCTGGGCGATGTCACGAGATGCCATATGACGGTCTAACTCGATGTATTCCATGATTTGATCGGTATTTGTCGTCACAGGTCTTCCGCCGGCTGGCTTATCCATGGTGTCATTTTTACCGGCTCTGAATCGTCGAAACCATTCCTTCGCGGCTCGAAATGATAGAGTACCATCCCCCAAAACACCATTAATCTCACGGAACGTTTCTCTAGCGGATTTGCCTTCAACGAAGGAAAACTTTAAAATAGCGCGAATTTCGGCGTTAATGAACTCTATAACTATTGAACGCAATATCCGAACTAATCATGAATAGCGTTGTTTTGTAGGTTATGTTAAGGCCTTTTAAAATAAAGTGTTGCCGAGCTCTGTAGCGCTTTGTACATAGCCGCGAAATTTAAAAGATAAATAAGCGAAAGGGAGATATTTGACAACCTAATATTTTATAATGCGGACTAAATTTTATCGTTGTTAAGCTGAATATATTTTCATGCATGACTTGATGCAACTTTGAAGCCTGCATGGCCCGTGTTCGTGGATAGCCAAATTGTTATTTTTTTCATCTGTCGCGGTATGAGTGCAAAACTTAGTTTTATTAGTAAATATTATCAAATAACTTTGGCGAATGTCAGGACTTGGAAATATAACTTTGAGTAGTAAATTTTACAAAAACTCATCTTCTTCCAGCGTAGCGCATTTCATAATATTTCGAGCAGCAGTCAACCATAAATTTTACAGGAGCATCAACCAAGTTCATCACCTTCCCAATTTAGAGACATCACACTCTGGGCGCATCCCTAATCCTACATATGCCGTGGTCCACATCAACGTCTTTTTAGAATTTTTTTCTAGAGCAGATATTTAGGTGATGGAAGCCACGTCCCTGGCACTCGCCTATACACTTTGTCTCAGCTGCAGATTGATACTTTTTACACAAACAAAAGATGGTTATTCTAAGGTCAATGCTCTAAATTTTAGCTACTTGGGTAAAATAATAGAAAAAAACTTACTAAAATTCAAGCTTAAGCCACTCAGAACTACTGCTTATCAGCCATTCCTGGCGCTGGTAATTATCTAGGCTTGTGATAATGCAAGCTTCGGAATATGCACCAATTATTCGAGTTCAGCATTTATTAGACACTTTGTAATGTAACTTTAAATAATTTAAAGTTATTGAACAATATGCACAGTATGCATGGTTTTTTTCTTAAACTTGTGCAAAACTAACTCATATAAAGCTGATAAAAATCATGTTTTAGTCGAGCAAACATATTGTGATTATATATTGTTGTTATTGTACGAGCATTTTCTCCATTGCACTCACTCTAAAACTGAACTGATTGGCATGCTTGAGGAAGCATAAATTACACAAACTGCATAATAATTAAGTGGTCGACATTATAGCCACTCAATAAAACAATAAAACTGGCACAATTGACTATATTTCTACACTTCCTCTTTTATCGTAATTTGACTCGTTGTTGAGTGGAGTTTTTTCCTCTCATAATGTAAAGCAATTGCAAGCGTAAACCCCTAAAGGTTTTGTATCAGTAAACAGAGAGAGGGAGAGAGAGAGAGAGAGATTATTATGCAAGAAATGATGTAATTAAAGTGATTATGCCTTTAAGCTGTTATAGTACTTTAAGCAGTTGACAGAATTTCTGTAATAAAATTCCTAGAATTTTGAGTTCACCCAAGGAACTGAACCTCAAGAATTACTTGCTTATTAAGAACAAGAAAAAATGTGAAGCTCCATCATCTATTATTCCAATTCTCTGAAACCATTTCCTCAAACAGAATATTTTTGGGGTTTTATTAATTTAAATATATTGATAACAACTGAATTTCTGAAATAAAAATTATAAGAAAAGCATCTACCACACTAAGATTCATCGATTGAGAGACTTTTCATGGCAAGATAAACCACTAGCCATTAATAATTATTGCTTTCGATTTCGGCTTCAACATTGTTACTTTTGGCAAGGTTGATCCATTAGTTGAAGTGGTTTGCAGGCATTAATTCACATTAAGCGTCCTCAAACGCTCATTGCTTTCCGAAAAAATATGGACAGGACTTTCTTAGAGTCAAGGATACTCTGAGACAGTTGATAGCCAGCAATTCTAGATACCAAGATTCTTTGTTGTTACCAATTTGCATAAAAGTGAATCGAGTCGGTGGTTGATGTTCCAAAAGATTTTATCCGGAATCACTACCTTCAATTTTGTCGTAAAGTTAGTGAGTGATACGCACTAATCGGTTTTTTCTTTTATGTACTATTAGGACACTCCCTAAAATAAAATTAGCAGCACCATTATACGACAGTGCACCGGAAATGCAATAAAAATCCATAACATTTTAATCATCTTCGACTCAAATCGGTATTTTACTTTCTATCCTGCGAGCTTCACTTTGCTGCCCGGAGGTATACGAATGTGAAACTCAAAGTAAAAATAGATATTTGCTATGCCAGGTGTGTAAGTGTGAAATCGGAATTTGCCTAAAGGTTGCACTAGATGTCGATTCAGTTACCGACTCATCACGTCGGCGGTATCTTGTCATTGTATTGATATCCATCACAGATTTCTAACTCACAATATAACGAGTTTCAGTAGCATTAGTTTATTAAAGCTAAACTTGTCAAGTTTTGTGCCAACAACTTGCGATTTGCGGACAGCAATACTTTTCTTTTTTCATCTAAAAAAACAAAGTCAGTTTACTGCATAGCAATCCACCAGCACACGAAGCGAAACCGGTCCAGGAAACGGAGAGATTC